GGACTTCCACCACAGAAGCTGTTCGACCAGTTGAAAGATTCGGATCCCTTGGTTCCGAAGAAAACTCCTTGACGACGAAAGGAGGTGAACCGGGGGCAGCACGAGTTGGCGACACTCAACGCTGTATTGATAGCGATCGATCAATAAATAAAACTCCAATATCTTACGACTATCGCGATAGGGCCGATACTAGCCGAGCACTCCAAATTGTGTCGTCCCGAACCTTGAAAAATAACTCGGGCGCCTGTAGAAACCGAGTTCTTCGTTCGAATTAAATCGTATGAGTACTGTGCCTCAGAAATTAATTCAAATCGAACGGTGGGATGGGCTTGATGGGAGCCCAAAAAAAGGGAACTTGCGAAACGCTGAAAGTCGATCCGCGAGTTGTTGTGTTGTTCGTCTTTGGTGGGAAGACAAATTCCAAAATGTTGATTGTCCTCGTCTCTGATGGAAGAGCCAGGTAAAATTTCTGAAGGACAATCGCTGCAGTCGGATATGTGCACGACTGCGAGAATGTGAGCTTGATGGGAGCTCAGAAGCTTGCGAGAGCGCTGTGGATCCGATCCGCAAGTTTGTTGTGTTTTCTTCTTCTGATGGGAGACGAATTGAGCGATCTCTGATGGGGAGATCGATGCAGTTAGCTGTAGGCGTAGCTGCGACTGTTAATCTGACAGAAATAAATGAAAGTAGAAATCTGACAGAAATAAATGAAAGTAGATGAATAGACTTAAAGCCCATAGTGCGACTGCTATTTCACAAGAAGATAAAGATCAATTCAGGTAAAACAACGTGCAGTGAGAAAAGCGATCGTTCATCACTTTTCCACGCAAATCTCTAGAATTACCGCAGAACGCTGATGACTCAGCATTCTCTACGTTAAATCAATGGCGTGTAGCGGTTCACGCAGGTGCGACGCGTGCAAGGCACAGGGATATCCCGCAGTTTTCTGTGAAGCCAGCTTTCTCTTTTTTTTGGACAGTCGATGTGGTCATTTTCACCCTCTTCTGCACGAAACTTCAAAAATCGACTTTCACTTATTGCCTGCCAGAAAGAAACTTCTACGACAAGGAATTTTATAAATGTTCACAATGCCGTTAAGTATTCAACTTCATTCGCCAGATAAAATTTTAAAGTTTGTTTTATTTTTACAGCAATTGCGGAACATCTGTAATGACCCCAAAAAAACCTGTAAATTTTTCACAGAAGTTTCGGAACATCTGTGAAAAATTCACAGAGATTTCGGAACATCTGTGAAAAATTCACAGAATTTTTGACCCAGACGACCAAGCATTGCTTGCGCACACCATTAACCGTTTTTTCCTCTACCGAAATTGTATGGTGCTTTTACGAAAGGGCATGCGTGCACGCATGTCAGCTGAACCTCTGTTGAAACTTCACGGCAATTTCGGAACATCTGTGAAGACCCTTAAAAAACCTGTGAAAAATTCACAGAGATTTCGGAACATCTGTTGGTCATTCACAGAGATTTCGGAACATCTGTGAAAAATTCACAGAATTTTTGACTCACAGGACAAAAACAATGGTCAATTAGGGGAACTGTCTGTAATTTAACGAACTACGACCAAAACGCGACGATCACCGACCAAGAATGAATTCCACGAGCAGTGATGATGTCGGATCACAGATCCCCGTGCAGAAGGAGTGAGCAAGCCGGTCAGGCCCCGATTCCAGTTCAGATTCACACCAAAATGCGGAATATCCCAGACGATAGAAAATTTACAGACTTTTTGACTCAGACGACCGTGGAAAAAAGTCTACGACTAGTTTTACATAGTGAAGCCATAAATGTTATATTCCTGGCTGAACCCACCATTCGCCACAATTTCGACATTTCGGAACATCTGTGAAGACCCTTAAAAAACCTGTGAAAAATTCACAGAAGTTTCGGAACATCTGTGAAAAATTCACAGAATTTTTGACCCAGACGACCAAGCATTGCTTGCGAACAACATTAACCGTTTTTTCCTCTACGGAAGTTGTGTGGTGCTTTTACGAAAGGGCATGCGTGCACGCATGTCAGCTGAACCTCTGTTGAAACTTCACGGCAATTTCGGAACATCTGTGAAGACCCTTAAAAAACCTGTGAAAAATTCACAGAGATTTCGGAACATCTGTTGGTCATTCACAGAGATTTCGGAACATCTGTGAAAAATTCACAGAATTTTTGACTCACAGGACAAAAACAATGGTCAATTAGGGGAACTGTCTGTAATTTAACGAACTACGACCAAAACGCGACGATCACCGACCAAGAATGAATTCCACGAGCAGTGATGATGTCGGATCACAGATCCCCGTGCAGAAGGAGTGAGCAAGCCGGTCAGGCCCCGATTCCAGTTCAGATTCACACCAAAATGCGGAATATCCCAGACGATAGAAAATTTACAGACTTTTTGACTCAGACGACCGTGGAAAAAAGTCTACGACTAGTTTTACATAGTGAAGCCATAAATGTTATATTCCTGGCTGAACCCACCATTCGCCACAATTTCGACATTTCGGAACATCTGTGAAGACCCTTAAAAAACCTGTGAAAAATTCACAGAAGTTTCGGAACATCTGTGAAAAATTCACAGAATTTTTGACCCAGACGACCAAGCATTGCTTGCGAACAACATTAACCGTTTTTTCCTCTACGGAAGTTGTGTGGTGCTTTTACGAAAGGGCATGCGTGCACGCATGTCAGCTGAACCTCTGTTGAAACTTCACGGCAATTTCGGAACATCTGTGAAGACCCTTAAAAAACCTGTGAAAAATTCACAGAGATTTCGGAACATCTGTTGGTCATTCACAGAGATTTCGGAACATCTGTGAAAAATTCACAGAATTTTTGACTCACAGGACAAAAACAATGGTCAATTAGGGGAACTGTCTGTAATTTAACGAACTACGACCAAAACGCGACGATCACCGACCAAGAATGAATTCCACGAGCAGTGATGATGTCGGATCACAGATCCCCGTGCAGAAGGAGTGAGCAAGCCGGTCAGGCCCCGATTCCAGTTCAGATTCACACCAAAATGCGGAATATCCCAGACGATAGAAAATTTACAGACTTTTTGACTCAGACGACCGTGGAAAAAAGTCTACGACTAGTTTTACATAGTGAAGCCATAAATGTTATATTCCTGGCTGAACCCACCATTCGCCACAATTTCGACATTTCGGAACATCTGTGAAGACCCTTAAAAAACCTGTGAAAAATTCACAGAAGTTTCGGAACATCTGTGAAAAATTCACAGAATTTTTGACCCAGACGACCAAGCATTGCTTGCGAACAACATTAACCGTTTTTTCCTCTACGGAAGTTGTGTGGTGCTTTTACGAAAGGGCATGCGTGCACGCATGTCAGCTGAACCTCTGTTGAAACTTCACGGCAATTTCGGAACATCTGTGAAGACCCTTAAAAAACCTGTGAAAAATTCACAGAGATTTCGGAACATCTGTTGGTCATTCACAGAGATTTCGGAACATCTGTGAAAAATTCACAGAATTTTTGACTCACAGGACAAAAACAATGGTCAATTAGGGGAACTGTCTGTAATTTAACGAACTACGACCAAAACGCGACGATCACCGACCAAGAATGAATTCCACGAGCAGTGATGATGACGGATCACAGATCCCCGTGCAGAAGGAGTGAGCAAGCCGGTCAGGCCCCGATTCCAGTTCAGATTCACACCAAAATGCGGAATATCCCAGGCTACACTTCAACCTGGTAATCCTATAGGTCGAGTCACAAGTCCCGTTCCTATTAGAATTCTGTCAGATGCAGACAATGATGTCGATGATATGCCGGAACTCACTGTCAGAGTCCAAGGGGATGATGACTATGAATCAGATGACGACAATTCGGGTGATGAAGGCGATGAAGAGGAAGAACCTATTGTGGCCGATTTGGGTCACCATCAAGAAAATGTTGATAGAGGAATTAACCATATTCGAAGCCTTGTTACTGATCTGGAGGATCTACAAGAACCGCCAGAAGAAGAGATTGTATTTTAGCCTGAAACACCTCGAGTAGCAAAAGTCATTCGATCTGGGCAAACGTATGCGCAAGCTACAATGTCAGGGCTGAACCTTTCTCAATTTTCCAAAGAAACCAAGAGAATGGCCTTCGAGCAGGAGTGGCAGTTCTGCCAATAAGAACAAGAATCGAGTTGCGACAAGACGCAAGCATGGAGAGAGGGAAATGAAACCGTTAAAGGACAAATTGAAGCCTGGCATTCGTACCAAAGAAGGAAGTTGCAGTACTAAAGACAGTAAAGCTATCCTTGAAGCACAGCACAATCTATGTTTCCAACAGATTGGGAATGAGATGAAAGCTGATTATGAAGAGCACGACGCTATTCTGATCGCTCGTTGCATGATGCAGATCAAGGCAAAGTTTGATACTGATGAAGGTCTGAACTTCATTCAACAGTATTACATCAATCAAGGACTGAAGAAGTTTGGTGACGATGGAAAAGATGCTGTGGATAAGGAATTGAAACAAATGCTCCTGAGAGATTGTTTTACTCCCGAATTTGTGAAAGACATGACCGCGTCTGAGCAAAAGAAGGCCCAATCAGCGACGATGTTACTCGCGGAAAAGCAGTTCGAAAAGACAATTAAAGGTCGCCTAGTATTCCAAGGCGATGGAACTCGTGAATGGTTATCGCGAGAGGACACTGCAAGTCCAACTGCTTTGCAAGAAGCAATCACCACTACTTGTGTTATTGATGCACACGAAGGTAGAGATATAACTCCGTCCAACAAGCGGCTTCCACTTGGGCTGGAGGCATTAGTGCCACTGGAGGGGCAATTAACCCAGAAAAGTCCTTCTTGTGGTTGATTGACTTTGTGTGGGACTCCAGCGATGGCAAATGGCGGTTCCGCTGGATGCACCAACTCCTACCGGATCATAAACTACAAATACCTGGACTGACTGGCGATTTGGAAGCCTTACGCCGTCTGGAGCCGGATGAGGCAGAGAAAACCTTGGGGGTCATGTTGGCCCCATTGGAAGACCAACAGGCACACGTCGCCCACCTCAAGAGTATCTCCAAACAGTGGGCGGAGCAAGTAAGATCGGGGCATCTACACAAATACAATGTTACTCCCCTCATCAAGACAACAGTGATGAAATCCTTGGAATATCCTATGGTGTTAACCACACTGGACGCTGCGACATGGGTGTCGATTATGAGTCCCGTTCTCCAAGTTTGTTTACCAAAAGCCGGCATCTGCAGGAGCTTTCCTTGCGACATGGTTGTTGCCCCTCTCCGATTCCAGGGTCTGGGCATCCCTCATCCGTTCGGCACTCAGGTGTCCAAACATATCAAGGTTCTGCTCCGCCACTCGTCCAATCAAACAAAAAACTGGGGCGTATATGGAACCCACTGTTCAAGAACACCAACTTGAGATCGGCACCTCTTTCGGACTCTTCCAGCAGGACTATAGCAACACGGCAATTTTGGCGTCAGATACCTGGCTCAAAAGAGTCTGGAAAGAGTTGGAGGACTTGGATATCTGCGTTGCTCTTGACAATCCGGTCCTCCCTCTCCGGTGTGAAGGCGATGCTTTGCTCATTGAAGTATTCATGGAGTTGGAAGTGGACCAGGAAGCTCTGAGGTGGCTCAACTGGTGTTGCATGTTCCTTCAAGTTTGCACTGTCTCCGACATCGTGACGGCCGATGGCCGCAGCATCCGGGAGTCAATGTGGCATGGGGAACGCGACTACACTCATCGTTCTTCATATCAATGGTCTCGCACTGTCCGACCCAACAGGAGCCACTGGAGGGTGTGGCAGGAGAACCTGACTCGAGCACTACTTGCCTCCGATGGAACCCAGCGCCTACTGCGTCATCCATTGGGCCCATGGTTTGATCCTATCAACAGCTGGAACTGGTTGTGGTCTTCTACCCACGGATTATTCCACCGCCAGGGTCACGGTTGGCAACACTATTGTCACCGTCGCTCCCCCACACGGAGCCTTCAATGGGACTATACCCGTCCTGCGCAATTGTCTGGGCGCAAACGCCCACATAATGAGCCCGCCAACGACGGAGCCTCTCCCTTGCTGGCTCCCTTTTGGACCCAACCACTCCCTGAGGACGTGTGCCGAGCTACCGTCCACATCACGCCTTTGTTTGGTACTCTTGCCCTCACCGGCATTGGGACAGAACCGCTGCAGACGCACCACGACTCCCAACCGTCTTTACTGGCCGCCTGGATGGCCGACCGAGTATGTCGGATGGACCCCTGACGAAATAGAGATCGACGGCGACGAAAGCCTCCTGGCTGAAGCCTTACTCGAAGACCGGCTGTGCGTGATCAGCGACGGTTCTTATAAGCTAGGTCTGGGCACAGCGGCAGTTCAACTGCTCCCACGTAAGGGTGGCAAGGAATGTATTATTGTTTGTTGCCAAACTCCAGGCCTAACTGATGACCAAAGCGCGCAGCGGAGTGAATTGATTGGCCTACTGGCCGGTATCATGGTTGTTGATTTGCTCCTGGACCAGTGGGCCCCAACACTTCGATCACCACCCCGTGTCAGGATTGCGTGCGATGGGTTTTCGGCGTTGCTCAACACCTTTAGTGACAAACGAGTCACATTGCAACAAGCCCAGTTTGACCTGGTCTCCTCCATCCAAGAGGCACTTGCCCGCTCCAGGGCCTCGTGGGAACCTAGCCACATGTATGGTCACCTTGATAAGGCGACATCCTTTTCGTGCATCTCTTGGTGGTCCAAACGGAATGTGGAAGTGGATGATTGGGCGGTTGCTTATCGTCATCAGCTCGAAGCTTCTCACCAACTGATTGCACCCAATGCTTGCTTCTTTACCAAATTGGCTGCCCTCTACATTGGTGACGTCAAACAGTCGTGATTGAATCCAGAGCATATCTAGGAACTGGTGGCGCTGCCTGCGCTACGCAAGCGATGGCACGAGCGGCAGACGATTACACCGGAGGCGGAGCTGGAGACCGATTGGACCAGTCTGGCTCGCGCCATGCGCTCCCTTCCGACAGGTGTCCAACGCTGGACTACAAAGCATGCCGTGGGTATGTGTGATGTGGGGAAGTTCAAAGTCCGGTGGGGTTCCGCTGACTCAGCTGCGTGCCCCTGCTGCGGCGAGTTTGAGGACAACTTTCATGTCCCTCGGTGCATGGCGCCCTCTGTGAGTGCGGAATGGGATCGCCGGACGGCAACCTTGGACCAATGGCTGGATGCTCAAGTCACTGACCCAGCCATCAAACACGCTATCCTTCATCTTCTTCAAGGGGTCCGTGATTCGTCCCTACCTTCCAGTCGGGTGGTTCCGGTTTGTCTTTGCAGCGCCTTCCTCTCCCAAAAATGCATCGGCTACCAAGGATTATTGGAAGGCCGGCTGTCTGTTCAGTGGGCGGCCCTGCAAGAACAGTACCTTCAGTCACGAGGGAGCCAACGCTCTCCGACCCTGTGGGTCTCTCGCCTGTCGCATCAGCTGATCTTGCTTGGATTTCATATGTGGGAACACCGGAACTCCGTGCAACATTCGGAGGACAACGTACAGCTACGCAAACGTAGCCGATTGGTGAACGACGGTATACACTCTCAGTTTGATATGTGCCCAACCGACCTCTCCATGGTAGTTCAACGTATGCTCGCCGTGAAACGCAGAACAGTGTTGAACAAGCCGCTAGTCGATAGGGAAGAGTGGCTGAAGCTGGTTAGAATGGAACGCATGGCCTACCGCCGCGCTCTGGCGCCTCAACGCCGTATCCTTCACCGCTTCTTCCACCCGGCCCAGGCCCCTTAACCCCGTTTCGCAGAAGCAACGCCCGAAATTACCCCGCCTTGTCGCGGGTAGAGTTGGGATCCTTTCAATCCTGACTAGAGCAACTTCTGTCCACCAGATGCCTCCAATGGTTCAAACTAGTCGTTGACTTGTTGCTTCACGGTACTTGAACTTTACAGCTGCTTATTCCACCGGCAATGGTATGCTCTAGATAGCATTTAATCGATTAATGTTTCAGTTATTATTTTTCTTGAGACAGGCTGAAGTCCTGCAAGATCTATATGGCGTTTGTTGGGATATGACGAAATATGAGTTTTTTTCCAAAAGAAACTATTCAAGTACAACGTTTTGACACGCACAATCGGACTTTGATCGTGATTTTGGGATTCGACGCAAGTCTGCCGGACAATCTATATCCACACAAAAAGGAAAAGACCCTATACAAGTGGAATATCGATGTTGTGTACGATGCAGTAGGAAATAATACAAGATGTCCCAAAGTACTGTATTCAACACAGAATCCTCGTAGAAGCCAAATCGAGTTCTGTAAACAAGGGATTTTCCAAGGGGAAAATTGCTGAACTCACTTTTGTGATTGAATCATCAATTCAAGCAAAACATTAATTAAATAGGAACAACTTCACTCAAAGTATACCTAACACAAGGAGAACTATTGTCGTGAAAGTGTTGTACAATCGATTACAAATTTAGATTGCAGTGAGTTTGTTCTGAGCGCTAAAGGCACTCAAGATAGAGCACATTTTGCTTTATTCTAACATTCAATCACAAAAGGCAACAAAACAAATATATATCAAGAACAACACTGCCTTATCTACAAAGGAGTGAGTGATTTGTTGACTATGGGACGTTCTTCATTCGGTGGAGGAAAAGGACGTGTGACTCCTCAGAAAGTCAAGAGCAATCCAAGTTCAACAGTTGTGAAACATCTATTTTCAACTAAAGATGAAAACGATGTAAGGGCAAGATCGTTGTATGAAGATGCCGAAGAAAGAGTGATTGATTACATCCAAGCTTCTGGAATGAAATGTTCCGAAGACATCGTGAAATCAATTCTAGATGGAAAGTCGATCGACTACAATGCGATCGCTCCAACATTGAATGCTCCAACTCAAACTGAAGCTGTTGCAAGAGAAACAGAGATGGCCCAAAACAAGATTCTCTATTCTGCAAAGCTCGACGAGAACATGCGAAGATCAGCCTACTTTGAAACAAACAAGAGAACTGTGAAATCTGGACTCTACCCAGCCGACTGTATAGAAAGGTTGCAAAAGTGAAGAAGAAGAAGAATTCCGAATTCCGGTAGCCAGCAAAGAACTTGAACGAAGATCTGACGCGTAGCTACCATATGTGAGAAGAAGTACTGAACTTGGAGAAGATGTGAACACGAAAGCACCAAACTGGAAAGAATTGAGAGTTTTGGCAAGAAACCCACAACTCAATCCAGATTGAACCTTCCGATTGAACACTATTGGACCCCAACATAGCGTAGAAAATTTCAACTCGCCTGGGGGGATAGTGATCCATATAGGGAATCAATAAGAGGAATCAGGAGTTTGCAAAAATCATGGATTTTGGACGTCTTCTCAATGTGTTATCGCCAAATGGGCGGGCTCGTAGACCCCCAGTAGAAACAGTCAATTCGGACCTATCAAGTACCGGCCGGAGCCGACAGAGAGGCAGCGTGACCTCCAGATACTCTCAACCAGAAGCCGTTCATCCGTGGCTGGCGTGCCACGAGTCATAGAGGAAATTCAAACTGAAATGAGCGATTTCCGAAGCACTCATGATGGCAAAATCGATTCAGACTTTGATGCTGGCCTCTCTGATGGGAAACCGACACGAAACCCGGGAGAAGCACCACCAGACACTGAAGGAGAAGAAGAGGATCCCAAAGAAATCTGGGACGGGACCGAGCCAGCGATCGAGGATCTCATCCATCTGGACAATACTCACTGTAGAGCCAACTTCATCAGGCCAACGGTGGAGACAGAACAAGATCTCTTAGTCTGTGGAAAGGCAACCCGGCGTTGTCAAGAACACAAGGACGATCGCAAAGTGAGCAGAGCAGAACCACAATGGCTTCTACGAGTTGAATCTGCACATTTAGATAAGAATGGGGAATCTGTCTTCCATAGCAAGCAAAATGGATTACGATGCTCCGAGGAGAAGATGGAGGCGCGCCTTTGTCTTGATCATGTCAGGCTCTTGGATGACGATTACCAACAAAGCAGTGGAGTGGACGAGAGCGAAGTGGAGTCAGAAAGAGAGACAGACAAATATCAGTCACATATGCATAACATTGCGGCAGAGATTGCAAGATTGGAACAGGAAGCTCTTTTGACAAAGCTCAAGGCCAAGCAAGCTCTCTTGGAAAAAGATGCCTTCCCGGCAGGCCAACCATCTCGAAAATCACTCCAAGAGAAAGAAGAAGACCCGATCTACGCCCAAGAAACCGACACCAACCGCCTGTTAGAAAATCCCCACTAAAACATCCAACAAACAAGTAACTATTGGCGAGGAGCACAATACGATGAAGTCACCACCCAGAGCCACGGGGATGAACCGTCACGCTCCACCAACACCGGCTACAACCAACAACAATGGGAATCAAGACACCAGTCAGTTCATCCTCCAGACATTCCTTCAGTCGACCGAGCCCATGATGAGACAAATGCAGGCAACGGCGGAACGTCTCGCACAAGTGACAGAACGACTTCAAGAAAAGGCGGCCAACCCACCATCTGAAGGCCCGAGGACCACCGCACGACAGCTGGAACCTGACCTCCAGGGGGCGCATAACAGACTCATTCAATACAACCAAGGAGCAACACCCAACGGAGGAGAAGACGAAGTCCCAAGAGGCCCAAATGGAGAGGTACTCATCAACCAACACGATCCCCCTGTACGCATCGGGCAAGTGGATAGCTCCAAGGATGACAAGGACAAAATTCACGGCCTTTCCATATTCGACAGTCAGATTGACAGGGCAATGATGCCAGAAGCCTTACCAAGAAGCCAATACAAGGGACTATACGATGTAATGAATGATATTGCAAGTTTACCAGGTACGTGCTCACCAAAGGAAGGAGGTGGTGATGTGGACGTGAATACAGACACTACAGACATTATGCAGCAGTTCTTGGAGACCGTCGAATCTAGCAAGAACCCCTCCATGAAGACTAGGATCACCGACATCCATTACCCCAAGACTTCCAGACACGGGCTGGCTTTAATCAAGTCAGAAGCCAACCTCTTCAAAGCGGCCAGCACTATCGCAGAAGACAAGGAGCTCACCTCTTGGAACCAACGACTCTGCGTCCAATCCTACCTACATGACCGGGGATATATGAAGGACTTCATTGATGATTACTTGGAACAAAGTCTACTCTGCCTCATTATCCGAGAAACTCTGACCAACTACACCGCACTCATCAACAAGATCCGGCAAAAGAGAATTGATGGCATGAGCGACGCGTGGAAAGGGTCAGAAGCCTACCTCCTGCTCTCCCACCACTCCAAGGAACTACTGAGAATCCGAGTCCACTCCACCAGCAAAAGACTGTTGCTATTCCAGAACTACATCTACCTTTGTGACGCCAAAGCAAAGAACTTCAACAGCAACAAGATCACGGAGAAGACCATCACCAACGTCAGAGAAGAGAATTGTCTCTTCCAAGAGGCCCTGGATTCCCGATTGGAGGCACTTGTGGAGGAGAGACTAGCCGAACATCTTGCCAAGAACAAGAAGGAGAACAAGAATTGAGTTGCGACAAGGTGCAAGCATCGAGAGAGGGAAATGAAACCGTTGAAGGACAAATTGAAGTCTGGTATTTGTACAAAGAGGGAAGTCGCAGTACTAAAGACAGTAAAGCTATCCTTGAAGCACAGCACAATCTATGTTTCCAACAGATTGGGAATGAGATGAAAGCTGATTATGAAGATCATGACGCTATTCTGATCGCTCGTTGCATGATGCAGATCAAGGCAAAGTTTGATACTGACAAAGGTCTGAACTTCATTCAACAGTATTACATCAATCAAGGACTGAAGAAGTTTGGTGACGATGGAAAAGATGCTGTGGATAAGGAATTGAAACAAATGCTCCTGAGAGATTGCTTTACTCCCAAATTTGTGAAAGACACGACCGTTGATGCGTCTTACAAAGATATACTGTGGAATTCTACATGAGCTTACCTTGGGTCTGGATCCAACAACCAAAGTGATTTCTTTTTCTTTTGAAGCAAGAACACAACAATCAATTCGACCAGTTCATCATCCCTGCCATCATCCCCATCCATCATCATCATGAACAACGTTCGCGACCACACTGCTGAAGCCCTTATCGCCACCAATTCCAAAGGCTATTCGGTCTCCTTGGACATTTCTGGCAAGCCAATCGCTCAAGGGCGCCATCGCCTCCGCCAAATTGCCAATTGTCAGTGGTTCTACAATCCTTCTGGCCGAGCTTCCGATGGCCTTGCAACAAAGATTGGTCGTGCCCTTCAGGAAGCTGGCGTTTTTCTGGGCGGATTGCCTTTGTTTTCAAGCTTGGTTATGGTACGCCTCACATTTGGAGTGAGGAACATGAGCAAGGATTTGGACAATATGATTAAATTCATTTTGGACACACTCCAGTTTGCAACAATCTTCGGAAACGACCGTCTTATCTGCAAGATTGTTGCTGAAAAGGTTTTGGCTACTGCTACTGGCTTTACTAATATTGAAGTTCTTCAAGTCTAGTTCATTTAATTCATAGTAAAATTCATAAAACTTTCGTTGTGTCAAAACTTTTGTCATGTCAAAGCTTTTACCGTGTCAAAACTTTTACTGTGTCAAAACTTGACTCAATCCGTCAGCATAGTATTAGAGTATAAGAGAAATATTGAAATGAAAGGAATATTTATATTTATGTATGACCTATTGCTCTTCCATGCTCTTTACAATCCTCACAGCAATAGCATTTCATTTCATTCCAAAGGTGAAGCTTGAAATCAAATGTACACATATGATGAATGCCATTTCTGACACAAGCAAGAAAAGCAAAAATGAACACCACTGGACGATGTTCTATGGCAGCTGGTTTGCGGTAATCTTGATTTTGTGTGAACTTGTCTCGTTTGTGTCTTCAAAATACTTCAATTTCCTGGCTTCTTCTCAGCATTTCAACGCTTGACATATTAGACGTGAATTTTTCTCACTTGAATTTCTATAGCCAAGTTTCTGGCTTGTCTCTGGAACAAATGCCGCCTTTCAATGCCAAGGTTGTTTGTTGTATTAAGGGGCGCTTGTGTCAAAGCTCTGCTATCGGACCTGCTGGTGAAAAAATTCGATTGCCATCAGATTTTTTTTGGCGGCTCATGGCTCTCACAGCTGTAGTGGTCCCTGTCCCACCACTACCCCATGCATTGGGATTTAAATTTCGTACATTTGGTAATCGTCCCAGTTGTCACTGGGAAATTACTGTGTTTCCACCAATATCATTGTTTTCTTCCATTGGCTTTTTCTTCTGCTTTCTTGAGGTAATTGTAGTGTTATCCTTCATCTTTGCTCCAAGGTGGGTTGTGATGTTCAGTTTTAGTCGCTTCTGCTCTTTGTCAAGAAATTCTGCGGCATCATTCAATGTGCCATTCTTTTTGGATTTGACGTCTTCAAGACACAGAATGGCATTACGCAGTTTGCCGCATCGTTTTGCTGTGTTTTGGTCCCAGTCTTTCTTGGCATCCCAGGACCACTTGTGCAATTCTAGCCTGCGCCACGTTTGAAGATTTGCCTTCCATGATTTCCCAAATTGCTGTGGCACAGGCGGTGTAAGTGGCCTTGCTGAGTCTTGGAGTCCGAGCATTGGCCGGTGATTAATTAGTGGGTGGGGGGCATCATCAGCTTCCCTACTGCCACCACTGGTGTTGCGTTGGTAGTAGCTGTGCGTGGCTCTGCGACTATTGTTGATTGCTGTCTTTCCAAAAGAAGCAATCCTCTTGACAACTTTCTTTGATGTTCTTGATCCTGCCAAAAAAAGTCACGGTCTCTTTCTTTCAGATCAACTTCAATTGTTCAATATCGTTCTTCAATGTCAAATTTGCAGTGTTTAAAGACAATAGGTTTTCTTGCACAGTCTGCACAGTCTCTAGAATATTCGTGCCCTGTTCCTTCAGGTTGTGGAAGGCTGCTGCAGATGCTTCATTTAGCCGGCAAATTTGGTCGTGTTCACGATTCTGCAATTCTGACTGGACCCATCGCCTTTTTTCTGCAGCCCATTGTGTATAGCCCGGAATTTTTGCCTTGATTCAGTTGAAACCATAAGTAAGCTTGATGTTCGTATAGTTTCAAATACGATGGTGAGAGATAGCTTACCTGAAGAAGCTGCGCCATTTGGTGATTTGGGAAATCATGCACAAAATAGATCCCATCTTGCACAAGAATTTCACCACATTCAGACTTGTCCCCCTCGTCTGATTGTTGTTTAGCTTCCCATTTACTGTAGTCTCTCCCAAAATTTTTGTCTATGCATTCCCAAATATTTGGCAGAGGAAGGCCAACTTTTTGAAACCTGCCATCACAGTCATGGACGGGCGCTCCATGTCACACCAGTATGCTTGTGAAAGCTTATCAGTCTGATTTTTGGTCAATGTAGACACTTGATGAGTGTTGGAAATCGGTTCTGGCGGACATCAGACTGCTTGTCTTCGTCCAAACCGATTGACAACGTTGTGGCCCATCAAGCCATAATTGCCAACCAGCTGTGCCAACATGCGACCCATCAAGTCGTCATGCATAGGCACCAACCATAGCAATCTCCGATCCGTCTAATATGAAATAATCATCTCTACAGGAAATAACTATTCTAAAAGACTTGTTATCTACATGGAATGGGCAAAGCAAAAGCCTTGCACGAAAACTCAAATTTCCCAAAACTTTACTGGATGTTATGCAATCCAGAAAGGCCGGTACAAAACCCACGTACCGAACTCCCGCAGGATTCAGTATGGGATTTTCGTGGCGCTCAGACGTTTGATAGTCCAAGCGCACAATTCCATGTTTTCAGATTCCCTGCAAAACCGACTCATAGGAATCCCCCGAATAAACGGACCAAACGGACATTTGTCCGTCTGTCCGATCGGACGTGTTGAACTGCTTCTATCAAGGAGTTTCCAATGAATGGTCTCCAAGAGAGCAATTCCAACAATGAGGATGCAGTCCTGCAGTGGATGCATACATTACACAGTGTGATCTATGATGTGTTATTTTACATGATCAGACTCCCGTCCTTTGATATACCTGAATTTTTTGTTTAAAGTTAGATCGTGGCCCAAATTGAATATGACATAACACACTTTCAAATTGTACCTGTCCCATTGCACTAGAATCATTCTGTAGAATGGCAAATTGTACAAAAGGGGTTTGCCACCAGGAGGCTCCCTCGCTTGCATCTGGCCGTTGGAATTAAAGTTTGTGGCCATTGTTAATTAGTGCTTCTGTGACACGCAAGGCACTTGCAAAAACACCGCACAAAAGATATTTCCGATGGCGCAAGCAGCCAGTAAGTCTGTCTGCTGAACAAGTGCTTTTGGGGCCATCCTTGCGGATGGCTATTGTCAAACTCCTGCCATTATTGTGAGCAAACCGATGGCTCACATACAAGTCACAGAGACGGAGGTCCCGACTTGTGGCTCCCCAAACTCCAGCATTGCACCCCAAATTAAAGCTTGCCACAAGATGGCAAGAATCACCTCTGTCATTAAACATATAGGTGAGCAGTTTTTTTTCTCTGGAGTTGTTAACAGGTCTCCTTTCAAACCATTGAACGGATCATCACCTTTTGTCTATTCTGGCATTTGTAGTCGCAAATTAACTTCATGCTTTTTTTCACCTTCTTTCACAGCACGACTACTGAAATTCAGAGTTGGGGGATTGGAAATTATGACCCCGATCCACGAAAAACCCCCCCTTCCCATACCCACTTTCGGGCTTTTCTAAAAAAGTATCACCATAGAAATTAAAAATGGTCATTTTTAGAATACGTGGTATTTTAACGCCAATAAGACAGTGCAAAGGGCAATTTTTCGGGGATTTTAGCCCTATGCTCGAAAGTACTTTTCGACAATTTTTGGTTTCGGGATGATGAATCAACTGATTTGCATCACCACTCACGATGGGACAATGATTGACAGCAAAATGGAAGCCAAAGAAGGTGATTACGCCGGCTACAACACAGACACCATCTACAACACGTGTTCCAGAAGAGCAATGGGGTTTGATTTGCAATCATGCAAGGTCAGAGAAGTGGTGTGATAGCTATCGACGAGAAAATGAAACAAGTACAGAAGAGGCTGGAAACGACACGACCGAATGAAGGATTCCTCTTCCCTTTCCTTCCCTTCTTTTGTCCCCAAGGTCTAAGG